GTGACAGATGCCGACATGGGAGCACTTCAACGAGACGACCCGGAACTTCGCGCCGTGATCGAACACCTCGAAGGCCAAGGAAGTTCAGTTCCGCGAGTCTTGGCCCGAGACTTGTCAAGCTTCGTTCTGCGGCGAGGTGTGCTCTTCAAGAAGAACTTCGGAACGAGCAACCCTGCTTGGCTGCTGGTTGTTCCGGCCAGCCTGCGAGAAGAAATCTTTCAAGCATGCCACGACGACCCGACGGCTGGACACCTTGGCTACAGCCGGACGCTCGCCCGGATTCGTGACAAGTACTACTGGCCTAGACTCCCGAAAACAGTCCATCTGTACACAAGGTCGTGCCATGAGTGCCAACGACGTAAGAGGCCTCCGACGAAGCCAGCAGGACTCCTGCAGCCGATACCTGCTCCGACTAGGCCTTTCCAGCAAGTCGGAATGGATTTGCTTGGGCCGTTCCCAACATCGACGCAAGGAAATCGGTGGATTATCGTCGCGACCGATTATCTTACACGATACGCCGAGACGAAAGCCCTGCCATCGGGAACAGCCGTGGAAGTTGCCAAATTTTTCGTCGAGTCCATTCTCCTTCGACACGGCGCACCTGAAGTACTGATTACAGATCGCGGGTCATCCTTCATGGCCCAGCTGACGCAAGAGGTCCTTCGTCTCAGCCACACCAGCCATCGTCGCACCACGGCGTACCACCCGCAGACCAACGGGCTGACGGAGAGACTCAACAAAACCATCGCCGACATGATTTCCATGTACGTCGACGTAGAGCACAAGACATGGGACGAGGTGCTGCCGTACGTCACGTTTGCGTACAACACAGCGGTTCAAGAAACCACGGGAATGACACCGTTCCAACTGGTACACGGCCGAACGGTTACCACGACGCTCGACGCCATGCTGCCTCACGTGCCAACCGGTGATGTCAACGACGACGCTCAACTCATCTCCCAGCGCGCGGAGGAAGCTCGTCAACTGGCAAGAGTCAAGATTCAAGACCAACAGCGAGTCGACGCACGCCGGTATAACCTTCGTCGCCGGGACGTCCACTTTCAACCCGGAGACCGGGTATGGGTTTGGACACCAATACGTCGTCGCGGTCTCAGCGAAAAACTCCTGAAACGCTATTTCGGACCCTACAAGATCATCCGACGCCTCGGCGATCTGAACTACGAAGTTCTACCCGACGGAACGCGCCCATCTGCAAGACGTCAGCCGCGACCCGAGGTGGTGCACGTCGTCCGGCTGAAGCCGTATTACGAACGATAGAACTTTCCACTCTCGTCGACGGGTGAACTGTGAACTGTGAACTGTGAACCGCGACTCGCGATTCTGCTGCCTTTTTGTTTTGGATTTGTTTCTGTTGTTCTTCGTTTTGTGCTGCATCGGGACGATGCACTTTTTAAAGGGGGGGATAATGCCGCGCGCAGGGTCACGGACTTCTAGAACGTTCTCGTTCATTCTTGCTGCGGACATAACTATCGTTCATCCTTGTTTTTGTTGTTCTAGAAAGTGCTTGTTCATTCTCGCCCCGAGCGCGCTACGCTCGAACCTTCTCCGCCGAATCTTCGAGATAGTGACTAACTCTAGATAAGAGGCCGTCCGCGACCTTGTCGAGTCAGTCTCGCCCCAGCGTTCGACTCTGCTACCACGCCGACTTCGACGCCCGCGACGCTCTATTATTATCTTTTGTACTCTTTTATTTTTGGCACAAGTTCGCCACATTAAACGTTTATTTCTTCCCGTTTATTTCCTTTTATTTTGGTCACCACCCGTGACAATATCGTGCCGCTTGGTTATGTAGCCACAGAGATAGGCAGATATATCGGAAATAACAAGGAGGACTTGCAATTATATATTTGTAAAATCAAACATCGTGCCTCCATTTTCTCAGGCAGTGGGTTGTTTACAGACCCCCTGCTAGCAATGTTTTATTCTCGCAAATCATAAAAGGATACTGTCTAATATAAGCGCGGAGTAAAGACAAAATTATGCTGGCCACAATTTCTCATATACTTGTATAAATTGGAAGACCTTTTTTATAGAGTGTTACGGGATAATGACAGTCCGGAATGTTTATAAAATTTTACATTGATATTCGATTAAATAAGGCTCAAGGTATTTTATAAAAAATACGAAATAAAACAGTAATAATATTTGATCAAGTCTTCCTTAACCACTAACTATCGAGTCCTCTAAATTATGAATCGAAAACTGTGCAAGTGCCCAGAGTAAGGACTTCCTGACACTGCCGTTAAAATATCCCCGTATAAACTTTCTTTAACTTAAAGAAATCAAAGAGAAATGCATAATGCAGACGACCTTTTCAATAAGTAGTACCTTAGTATTAAATTAAGAAACATCAATAGTCAGAGTGAACGCCTGCCTTAACAGTTTCGTATTTGCAAGGTTAACGAAATCACGCTTCATGAGCCATTGAATTATTCGAAACTCACTGCAACTGGTTAGAACCAATAGCAGTGTAAAACTAGTTAACAATTTACACTCAAACAAAACGTTTGTTACATAAGGCTCCTTGTTGCCACAAGCAAAGCTTAAACAAAATGTCGCTGCATTAGTGGAACACTCCATAGTCTTATTTAAATACCTGCTGCGAAGTTTTAATATCAAGTTTCGCTAAAATGCACTGCTGAAAAATATTTACCGCGGAGCAATCTTCTTACTCAAAATAAAAAGACTATACCGAACTCTATGAGCAGTTCGGTTAAGTTCTTTTTATTGATAACGGTTAGGATCTTGTATTTTTTAAGTGGAGTAATAACATTTTCCTAAGTGATGTGTTCATAGGTGCAGGTGTTTTCCACACATTAATGATATAACTATCAAGTATCTTGAAGGATGTGACATGCTATTAAATATGTTTATGCATCATTGTGACAAATATATTGCAATAATAATGCAAATCGTAGTGTCCGATGCGGGTTCGCCAAATACCTGCAAACTTACTAAAAAAACCTATCTATGCCAAGGGAGAAAAAAAACAAAACAAAACAGCCGTCCATTTCCCTAAAAAACCTGCACGTTAGAAGTATGCAATCTACATCCACGTATCTGAAGCAAATAAGAAAGAAAAAAAGCTACGCCTCTAAATTGCGGCACTTATTCCTAGCGGAATAAAAATAATATCACCAATCAATGCTCTTAATGTACTTCCTCTTTCATTTTAGTATAATACGGCTCCCTTGTGATCAAGGCTCAGCACATATTGCATGCATAACTGTTAATTCGAAGATTATACAGAAGAGAGACCCATACCTGCATCCTCCGCTGTATAGCTATAAAAATGAGCCAATATAAGTAGCAGTGCTGAATTGACGCCGGACAATGTTTGCTTATACTTGCTTTTAAGAGTTCGTCTTTGATGTTGGAGGGAGCGAATCGATGAGTTTCCCTAATATCTAATCGTGTTTTACATTTGGTAGTTTGGTGACGGGAGTACTCGCGCCCGTGATGCAATGCGTCGCCCGCATGGTGCACTCGTAGTGTGGAATGCATACGAGCGACGTCAGAAAGGACAACATCTAAGTGATTTCTACCACGACAAAATTCGCAAACGTGTCTGCGAGCCGCAATCTTCAAATTAGTTGCGCCTCTTGATATCAAGCTTAGAATAAATTGTGCGTTTCGTTGCAAAAATCAATGAACCAAACTGTCTCATGGAACACGAGAGTACACAAATCCTGCACTTTTGATACACATATCTTATCTCGTTCTAGGGGCTTAGTGCCGTCTTTCTGACCAAGCCTTGCCTGCATTTGCCAATCACGCTACCTTGAAGCAATTAGTGAATCGCCATCGTTATACGTTAGCTTTTCTTATTTTTTTTTTCGTTTCAAGCAGAGTTGAAATGATTACATAGAGAAAGTTTTATTTATCTGCACTCCCTGACGCAGTACGAACTCATGCTAGCACTGGCAGTGGTTTCGTCGCCTTCTTTGTCGTCTATGTATCCACCCCTGGACGTTTTGATCTGGATAAGCATCGTACCACCGTGCGGAAGGGCATCACGCCACTTAAAGAAACCCTAGGGTTGCAGTCGTACTGCACTGGTCAACTTTCGCATCTGCAGCTAGTGTCATTTGTCGCCAAGGTGCATTCGCTGTGGGTGAGTGGTTTAGCCGGTGACTGCAAACGTGTAAAAACCACGAGTGCCGTGACGATAGACCTTAAACTTTGTGAAGAACAGAGTATAGCATCTAGTTTTGGCGTGGTAATCTTCGAGTTCCTTCAATATTCGGGTGCATCTAATAAAGAACAAGAGTTTCAATGATTACAGATAAGCACAGTAAGCGACATGAAGACGTTTAAATTTAAACCCGTCCAGGGTTTTTGTGTTAGCCAGAATTGTAAATCAATGCTTGGTTCGTCGCATAACATAATATGACACTTACATTATGCAGTACACTTATTTCAGCGCCTTTCACCAGTAAAAGACACGTGCACCGTTTGACCAAGACATGTTTGGTTCTCCCATGCATGCATAAGGGTGGTACTCCTGCGAGCAGCATCCACCCACAATAATCACCGAACGACTCTACGCCATTTTCGTGTTAAATAACTGGCTGTCGACAACGCGCATGTCATATTGAACGCGTCATATCGACTAACGCAAATCGATGTACCCACAGGACAGAATTCTCATATGTGTAAAGAAGCACACGCTGCATCGGTAATCAGGATTGTGGAATGACAGAATTCGAAATGTGGCAAATCCCGCACATTACGACAGAAGTGCGGTGTCAAATAAATCGGCATTATTCAAACCAGTATTTTGTAGTATTGGTAAACCGTTTTTACTTTTATCGGGCTTATTCGAATCCGTGTGTATACGTGTTTCATATCCGAGCAAAAAAGAAAAAGTAATTCACTTTAGGTAGGGTTAGCTAACACGAAACACTGAATACGGTTGCTTTTCCTTTTGTTGTTTTTTGTTCTTCTGTGCTTTCTTATTGAAAACATATCGATTTCTCATGCTTGCCTCTTTTGTATATAAGCTCCAGAGTTTCCACTGAGCTTCGCAGTTGAACTCTTCTGTATACCTACATCATGACGGGAGTGAGTGCACCTTTTTTTCGATACCGCATTTTGAATCTCGTTTATCTTATCTCCCGAGCCGTCTTTGTATACATTTGGAATGGCCTATATTGTTTGTGTCTATAATATCTACGTCAGCTAAAAGCATTTAGACATGGATGTCCACCTTGCTTGATATTTTGTTAACTTCTAACTAACTTCTAACGTCTCGATTTTAGTGGCTGAAAGATTTCATTTTATTTAATTGTTATTGGTAGAATGAAAACGTATAAACACAGCCGTTGAGTTTACTACTGCTGCCTCAAGGATATTTAAATCTTGCCGTTTGTTGATTGATTTGTGAAATTTTGAGTTTGGCATCGAAACTGGGTGGCGTTTGTGGGTTGCGTCGTCAATAATCGCTTGCTTAGAGAATAAGTGATTGTGAATATTTATGAAGTAACAAAATACTTGATAATATATATTTGATGGTGTTATTTGGAGATAATGCAATCAAAAATCTTAAGCGTGTGGCCAAATAGTGGAATCTTATTTTATAAAAAAAGTGAGAAGCGCACCTCTAAGTTTGTAGTATATATATGCATGGGGTTGATATGCATCCAAAATGTACAAAGGACATGGAGGTTTGATGCATCTACCTGATTTCACAAATACGAGCTTTCATGCGATGTTTTGTACCCTGGCACTTACTTTAATATATTGGTTTAAAAATCTCATATCGTAGTGCCGAAATGAAAAGTTAGGATGCGAGAATTTTTTTTAGGCGTTCCCGTGGTACATTTTATGATAACATATTTCAGCATGATATATACGCCGCGTTAAAATACATGTAGTCAAGTAGAGATTGCAAGTAGTGGTTCACATTAGCACAACATGAAATTTTAGCCTTTGGTCTTTTTTTTATTTAAACATTTATTTATTCCTGATATTATATTAGAGGTACTACCTTTTTATTATTAACGATTTCTGCGTTAACCAAACTGACCTACTATTTTAGCAGGCATCGTAGTTTTGTCGTTTTTTTTTTAAATTCACAATACATTTATAATTAAAATGTTTACTCCCAACTTTTTGTGCAGTTCCTTGCGTGTCTTCTCCTGGCCCTGGCCAGCAGTGCGATCGCTGGTTACGTCCAGGGTGGTGTTGGTTACGGCCATGGCCTCGGCTACGGCAGCCTCGGCTATTCCGGCCTTGGTTACAATGGCCTTGGTTACTCCGGCCTCGGATATGGCCATGGTCTTGGCTACGGTCACGCTGTTGCACTTAGCAACGGCTTTGGCTACTCTGGTCTGACTGGCTACAGCGTCGCTGCCCCAGCTAGCTATGCTGTGGCTGCCCCAGCCGTTAGCCGCACTGTTGCCACCTCCTACCGGGTTGCTCCAGCTGTCGCTTCCTACGCCGCTGCTCCAGTTGTCGCCACCTACGCCGCCGTCCCAGCTGTGACCAAGGTCGCTACCTACCAGACCGTACCAGCCATCTCTACGTATGCCGCTGCTCCAGCTGTCACCACCTACGCCGCCGCACCAGCCGTCACCAGGGTTGCTGCCTATCAGACTGCTCCAGCCGTCGCTACCTATGCCGCTGCTCCAGCTGTCGCCACATACGCCTCCGCCCCAGCTGTCACCAGGGTCGCTGCCTACCAGACTGCTCCAGCCGTCGCTACGTATGCCGCTGCTCCTGCCGTGACTAGGGTGTCCACCGTTCATGCTGCTCCGGCTGTCGCCAGCTACCAGGCCTACCAGACTGTTCCAGCTGTGGCTTCCTACGCCCATTCCGCTCCAGTCTATGGATACGGCGTCGGCTCCCTCGGCTACGGTGCCGGCCACTTCGGTTACGGACACGGGCTCAGCAGCTACGGTCTGAACTATGGCTATGGCCTCGGCACCTATGGTGATTACACCACCCTCCTCCGCAAGAAGAAGTGTAAGTTCATAGTCATGTCTTTATGTGATATTGACCTGTTTCTTTTAAATAGAAGATAGCGTCATGATAATGATTTGTTTCTCCTGCCTATTTTACAGAAATCTGCAAAGAATTTCCACCGTGGACATCTGCCACTAGGATTACATGAAGATTCAACGTGTTCACTGCCAACTCTCGCAAAGCGGGCAATAAAGATGTTGAACCTCGCCAGTTTTACAAAACATTCTTTGCAAGCTTCGTACGTCCTCTTGAGCAATCAACATGGCATTGGCACATACTGCCTTAGAAAAACGATACTGTTAAAAATACAGGTATGCTTCATGAAAGATCACGCAATCATATTTTAGATCTCCCAAAGCTTGACCTATAATCTTATCAGGTTTCTATTTTTCCCTGAAATCTATGATGTCCTATAATATTTAGGAAATAAGAACCGTTAGCGAAGGTTAAGATGGAATGTGTTTCTAAATGGAAGACACCCGATTTAAAACACTCAAACAACTTACATGCACCTAAGTGGCTAGCTATAGAAACTTAGAGATGCAGAAGAGCACTGCGCAGATATTACAATCGGGTTTGAAGCTGCATAATTCATCCTTCGGTGCGATTGTTGCCTGATGACTCAGTCTTACTGGCTTCGGAGCTATGACCAGATACTCAGGACTCGACACAACGTCTATTTCTTGTTAACTTTTTCAACATAAGAAGGGGGGAGGGGAGGAAAGGAGGTCGAGAACTAATTTGAATCAGCAGCTTGACGTGGCCGTCGGCACCCTCTCACTAGGCAGTGGAAGCAGCAAAGGAAAATCTTAGGTGGTGTGAGCTCATACCCAGCAAAACGGAATATATACTGTTGGGAATAAAAGAGAGAGAAAAAAGCAAAAAGATGGCTCTAGGGGCGTGCGAGCATCAGGAGCACAGGATACAGTTCAAACCAAGGCACCATCGGAACCGGTATTTGTCAGTTCATTCTCCACGACTGGCTTTCAACGAGGGGCCAAAAAAGTGAACTAGCCAGCCATCATCTTACCGAGCTGAACCGATAGTGTTTTCATACTAGTAGGCGTTATTTTATTCACCTTGGAATGGTGGGAAAAACCCCGCTGGTCACTTGCTCGCGGGATCACCCACGAAACCCGGATGAAAGAACATCACCCATTCTGGAAGGTGAGCCTGAATTTTGAGACAGCCTGCATATTCCGCTGTCGGCGCCGGGATCGCCGACGGATATCTCGATCGCAGCTTCAGTTGCGTGAATTGCCGGCGGCTACATGCCCGGCGCCGGCACCATGCGCCCGATCCCTCTGTCCTGGCCCTAACGATCCTGGTATGGACTCTCTCAGAAATCAACTATCCACTGCTGCTTGCAGAAACGATAACGCTGCAGAGAGAGCTGAGTCACTACGACCGCATAATCGGTAAATTCCGTATAGATCTCGATTCCGTGTAGACATACCTAAATACGCTGGTTACGCAGGCACAAAATTGGTAGCAGATTATTTTTTACACCTTCAAGATTGCCAAGCGGCATCCATCATATCTGAAACATCAGTGCTGGCGCGTGTCCTCTCGGTCGCACTAACAGGGAGTGCGGCAGACTTCGCAGAACGCTTTAGGGCTGCATTTTTACCCCATTACTACGCCTCACGTATCTCAGATGAACTTCGGGCACGCACACAGCACCACTAAGAGTCGTTAGCAGAGTTTGTGCGCGCCATACAGGCACTTCATGACAGGGCTAAACCCACAGCTTTGCTAGCACGAAAGGTGGCACGCGCTATTTGAGCAAGCCATCCCGAATTTCATTGTATCTGCGAGGCCGTAGTTTCCAGAGTTTAGATGATATGGACCGGGCAGCAAGCCAGATTCATGCTGACATCATGGCTGAGCTATCCTGCTGAACCCGGCCTCCTCCGGAGTACACTCTGGAATATTTATGCGCCTGGTACTTTTGTACACCCGATGACCCTCAGGAGTACTCTTACTACCCTGGGTCGATGCCACATTCGCTCTATCCCCACGCTACGCTCTAAACCAAGACACCCGCTCTCTCTCGGGTCGGGGGGCTCCAAACCCAGGAGTCCCGCCTTGACACGCACGGACGAAGTACAGAGCTCGAGGGACCATAATGGCACGAGGGACTGACCGTATGCTCACAATGCCTAGGTGCCGCTAGCCACAAGTTCCACAGGACTGGATCCCAACGCGGTTCCAGGAATTTTTCAAGGCTCCACACTGAACGAGCGGTGCGCTGAAGACACGCCATCATCATACACGGACGAAGAGCGCGCAGGGCTATGCGTCCTCTGCCAGGTGCTGACCATCTCAGATGATGGTCACGTTAACGGCGCTCTCCACGTCGAGCGTTTGCAAAACAATGTGACAACCAGTCGGCAGCAACACGGCCGCTGACATCGGCAGACATGGAGGTGGCCCTTATCGTTGTTTTGAGATCGTGCCCCGAGAGCTTAAGGGCGCCAAACCCAGCATGGCCCCTGCTCCAGGACATTGACCTACACAACGTATAGTGCGTGCCTCTCTCGCACCCTCACTCCGATAACACCTTTGATTCTATTTCGTACCCATCTTCAAAAGCCATAAACGAAATAGGAGAAATCTTAAACCGTGGGTCTTCCGTTTAATTGATCTAACCACACCGTGCCTTGAAGATCCCGCACGCACCCCCATCTGGTCCCAGGCAAACGAAAAAGATGTGCTAGCAGTCGCCTGTCTGACGCCGGGATTCCAGTGTAAGCCGGCCGAACACAAGCGTTAGAGCCATGAGCAACCTGAATACTCCGCCGGCAAAGGCCATGGACGCCCGTGAACCTCGTAGAGTCTTTATGTCGCCATCTTCGGGGTTATGAAGGACATGCTGACTGCCACCATCTCTGTCGTTATAGTGAGCTCTTCGCCGTTCTCTTTTCATCGAGCAAGTCATATAGAGTGATGATAGATGGGAGCAACCTTACGGCCAAGCTACAAGGACCCTTGGAACTTCACCAACCACCGAACCATCGTTCGCGAAAGCTTCGTCTTTCGCGAACGCGACTTTCAATTACAAAATCGAACCACCATCATCAAGGAAACAGCAGAATTAAAAGGCGCATCCCCGGAGGGGGTTGGGGGAGGCTGTTAGGAAATAGAGAGAAGAATAAAGATGGCTTTGGGGGGGGGGGGGGGGCAGGGGGGGGGGAGGGGGGGGAGGGGGGGGGGGGCGTGCGAGCAGCTGGAGCGCGGGAGGCAGTTTAAGCCAGGGCACCGTGGGAACCGGTAGTTGTCTCTTCATTCTCCACAATATAAAGTACACCATGGCCCAAGAAGTTGAGCAGCAACACGAGCATACCAAGAAAAATGTCATTATGGATTCGAAGTTTGACAGTCATAATATATGGAGCAAACTATTTACATTAAAATGGTATCAATAAAAGAAACATAACTTGTATGTCATGATAAAGTGCATGTTAGTTGCTAGAAACAGTGTACGGACACTATAAAACGTTACTTGTAAAATAATTATTGAGTAATGTAGTATAGATTCAGCAAGATAGATAAACAAACCCACCCCGGCATCTTTAAATTAATACCATAAAAACTAAAACGTGTTCAAATGTGGTATCTGCGAAATCACACAGTAAGGGTGTATTGAAAAATGAAGAACCTAACTTATATTAAACAAAACAAAACAAAGAAAAACGCCAACGCCCTACGTCAGCCACATTTTTGTTTTGTTTATGTCAATTGCCGTGAATATGTTTACCAACATTGCTTTATAACCATTAGAAGGTTAACTATGATTGGTAGGGTATCATTTGGAGAGATATAAACGACAATGACCCACTTTAAACGATTTTTGTTACCTATAGCACTCTGTCATCTTCTATTTTAAACACATTGTGAAGATGATTTTATGGATCTTCAAAGAAGATGTTTTATTCAATAAAAAGTAATTTCTACATCCATCCAATCTAAGGTCACTGAAAATTTAAAAAACGCAGGCCGTGGCCTAATATGATGAGCCTTCTTGCTACGTAATTCGATATTGGCGGTATTTTCAGTTGGTGCCTCAGCCCTATTCTCTATGGAGCAATAATAAGATACTCAGAGCTCACCACCCCCTGCCTTTCTTGAGCTGTCGGTTACTTGTGGGACATCCGTGCCGTCGCCGTCAAGCCGGTCCCACGTAGTCCGTGGAGCAGGTGTCGCACACACTGACACCGACGTCCGTTCGGTTGAGAAAGCCAATTACCGCACCCTCATACCCTGCATTAAACATAACTATGTACATACCAAAACTGTTTACAAGTAGGTTTACAAATTTCCTTACTTCTACCCGTCTCGGATAATGAACAACGCACTGGCCAACAAGACGTATATAGTTCTTGAGCGTTATCGCCCACGCCGCAATACCAAGAGCCCCCGCGCATACGCTGCGATTGCCTTTTAGCAGTGGTGGCGAACCACCCGCACGTCCAATTGCCCTTGCACCCCCCCCCCCCCCCCCCCCGGTGGAAATGACCACTGACGATGTGGCAGGTGGGCAACCTGGGCCAACATTTCGAATCCCCAAGTTGCCCACACATCTCCCCCTTCCAAGAACAAATGGGAGACGTCTGAGAGGGTGTTGAAGCGCCTTCTTTCTGGGCCCGACGTCAGCACTTACGAAGAATGCCGATGCGGCTATGGTGGGTCTGATGAGGGGAGCGGCGTCACTTGTCTGACTCAAGGAACTAGAAATTAAAAACAACTTGAGGTCATGACGCGGCAGGAAGAAGTGGCCGCGCCCAAGAACGACGCATGCCCAACTGCGCATACGGGGGTCAGGCCACTTTCTCTCCTCCCCCCCCAAAACCAGAAGAGGGCATATATAAAATGCTCTTAGAGCTCGTGCTCCTTTTCGTCGTGTTCACCGCCATCGCAGGTTGTATCGTGAGAAAGACGGAATCCAATCTTCCGAGAGGTGGTACGGATAGTTGCGATCTGGAACCTACGAGAAGTCTACTTCCTGGGTTGATAAAGCGCTTTTGGGTCGGCGACATGAATTGACCCGCACACTTCACCATATTCGCAATGCACTAGCTTATAAGCCAGGTTGGAAAGTTGTCTGCTAACAAGGTAGGGGCTCTCCCATTTCTTTGCTAAAGAGGCCGTGAAGCCTCTAGCAGCATCACTCAGCGGATGAGTTCGCATCAATTCCAGATCTTCCACCT